GGTGTGTAAGGAAGTGAGCGTAAAGATGATGATGTGACACCACGAACTGCGCAGCAGCGGATCATCTCGCTATGCAATGTCATTTTATACAACATAACTCTAAATATACATATATCGGAAAGCAGCTTATAAGCTTAGTAAAATATTTATGTGTACCAACCTCGAAGCAGAGCGTTATGTCACCACATACAACTGGTTTTCAAGGGTAAAATTAGCACACTACGTCAAAAAAAAACTAATTCTTATATTACTTTCACTAAGAGAAAGTAGGACCAGTAAGGATCAAGTATGTTTGGCTATCATTAACATAGTACTACTCCTGTGAGCTATGCGTCACGATGATGTCATTGATATCAACAACGATAAAACAGAAATAATTATGGATTATTGTAGAACGAAGGCAGGCGTCAATGCAGTGGTTAAAGTAACCTCAGGTGATATTCTTCAGCCTTATAACATTGCCGGTATAAATAAATTCGCAATTTGTACAAAAAACAAACCTACTAAAAATATTGTTTTACAGTCTTTTTTACACTTGGCTTTGATTTTGTTGAAACTGATTAACCAAAAACTCTGATTACTTACCAAGTCACATTAGAATGGCAAAGTATGTGGTACAACATGCCTTCAATAAGGTATTACAAAAGTCACAGTAACTGATCGTTGTGCAACATGAAGAAAATACAATGTATTTTATGTTGTCGTGAATGTTTTATTTTTATTTTGTTGGTAGTTTAGAAAAATAAAATTTACTTTTTTTATAACCCATATTATTTAAAATCGTAGTGAACAAAACTGTTCTACCAACATGGCAAACATGGGATTTTAACTGGTATCCAATTCAATAGATAGCGTATTCCGAAAGTGGCAAATTGTATAAGATTTTTTCCCGTTGTGATGATAAAATTTCATCGATATGAATTTTTAAATCCAGAAAAAATAACCGAACATTTGCAGGTTGGATAAAATTGTGTGGAGACAATACGTTCATCGCTGTGGATGCCAAGGATGTACATCGATGAAGAAGAGTGTGTGATATACATTTTACATACAGCGAGAAATATCTATCTAAAGAAAACTGCTATACATAGGTAAAAACCAACAAGGTAATAAGTGTTTACTTTTAATGACATTAAAATTTTTCATATTTGTTTTATGTGCAAGTTCATAGAATACATTATTTTTAATGATCATAAGGTATTGACACTTTCAACTAGCAGTTGCCCAGTTGCCAATAGGTTATCTGTATACTAACGGTTTGTTAAAAATCTTCATTTCCTGTAAAAAGCCCTAAACTCGATCCGATTCTGACTACGCCTTTTAGGTGTCATCATTGGAATGTATTGATTTAAAGCAGTATTATTTTATTAATATGACATATACAATAATTAATCAATTCCTAATTGAAAGAATATTAAAGTAAAGTTGTATAGAGATATGTTTATTAGATAATTTAAAAGTATTATAATCAAAGTTGAGAAAATTTGTAGAATATTTTATTAATGTATGTAAAGAAATGATTTAGGCGTAAAGTTCAATTTGAAAACATCTATTGATTCGAAATAATTTTTGAACTGATAAATTATTATATCTAAACATAATGACTTGTGAATATCTTTTGAATATATAAAGCTGATTTATCTTTAAAACCTAGATGGATAGAAAATAAATTAAAATATTAATATAAATGTGAGATTTCAGTGAAAATTCATATTTAATTTACTTTAAAATTGATTTAAAAATATACAATAATACCCACAATATAGAAACGTATTGCACAAATTTCATATAATCGGTTAGTAATTTTATATTTCTCACAATCCTGAATAATTAATTATTATTTTAATATAAATTATTGAAATTATTTGTTGCCACAAAGCGCGCACCAAAAACGCACGCGAAAATTAATTATTACAACGGGATTTCGTAATTAATTATGCCTAAAAGGTGATTTTACCTCGAAATAGTTGCGGATTTCCAAATAAACGTTGATGGAAGAACATATGCGAATTCAAAATTTTATTTACCCACACTGCATAACATCACCGAGTTATTTTGTCCGCATCGCTCACTGCACTAACCGGTGGTAAACAAGATAATTGTCTAAGTGATGAATCGTAAGTGAATTATAACATCAACAACAATACATCTTCTTTTTGTCCATTAAGCGCCATTATTTCTTATTTTTATGTTAGTCATCATAAAACTAATCACAAAACTAAATCATCATCATGATAATTACATTAAGCTGAGTGAGGGCACCTGTTCGGATGCGTGCCAAAGGGCACCTTGTCATCACCCCCACAGACACGCGTTGTCCACTTTTCGGTCATTTTCCAACCTGTGGGATTGCATTATTAACGATGCCCCATAATTTACAGAAGCTCCCCTCTGTTCGTCCATGTTTAGGGAACGCACGTGTGTATACACGTACCGTACGTGATCCACACCCTCTCTCATAGGAAACACAACGAGTTATACACGAGATTCTACGTTGTCAGAACACGTTCCTAGTTACCAAAGTAAATTACAGGATTACGTAAAGTATTCGCGTACACGGCAAGAATATATTTTCTCGGTAATGACTTACTAACAAATCGAAAATACATTAGTGGTATAGTTGAAATTTTGAATTATTTATTTATTGCGTTCGTCATTAAGACGAAGTCGATTACAGAAAAAAACCTCTGTATGACTCAGAATTTAAATTGTTTAGAAGTAGCAGTGTTAAATTAACCTAATCAACTAAGCTTAGAAACTTGGAACTAATCAGCGGTCAAACTTAACACAGATTATACCTCACGTTAACGCGGTATATTGTTTCAATAGATAGTTTAAAGTTTGTTGCTACTGGAAGATCTCGTTGCTTAATTTTACAAACGAGTACGGTGGTGGCATTTTCAAGGGCCAATTTGAAATTCGGTACAATTCTGTAACTTTTCTCTTTCATCTCTTATCTCGGCCAGTATTTACAGGGGAGAAAACGGACCGTACCCGTTTCAGCAACAATGCGAACAATTCCTCGCGTGTGTGTTCTGCCTAATAGGCAACTGTATTGTTGTCCTGTGCTTTCAAAGGACGCGGGCGGCGTGGGAATGTCCCTTCGACGTTTAGGAGCTCGTTTACGTTTCAACTCACGGTCCTAGTAGACGGACAAAAAACGTTCAGAAGGGTGCCAGAGACGATGTGAAATGAAATGTCCGCTATGCATACACGAGAGGTGCACACGATCCCGCGTGCCTTTTATAAAAGATGGCATTTTCACTCTGTCCCGACGACCGGCTATTTATACAAAGGTATGCGGGCGATATATGGTAGAGGAGGGCGCCTTCACGTTCTTCCAACCTGAAATTATTTGCTAGACGACCTAAGAAAAAAGTAACGAAATAGAAAAATCCTATAGTATGCGACAACTCCACCACAACATTTTTTTTTTAACTTTGACATTAAAGTGGGACAGAAATATTAAATCAAGATGACAGAGCAAAAAGTTGCAATAATACTCGGTTAAAATGATGGATTGAAACGTTTCGTTGTCGTGAATATTTTACTAGTGTTCGGTTGTGATCGATCTGTGTCATCATCGCGAAGTAAAAAACTAAAAAAGTTGTAATTTAATATGCAGTAATGGATTAGATTTGTTGTTTCTTCCCTTTATACCGTAATCAATATCGATAACCACCCCCAAAACTTACCTAATACTTCTCAACGGTAACAGTATAGAAATGTTGATCCCCTAGCATTAGAAGTTTGGTCAGGTTCTTTAGTGTTCATAAACCGTTAGCAGTTGGGAGACATTTGTCTTGTTTAGCGTTCGGGTTGTCCCCCTACGTCAAGGGGAAGGTAATTCCCATGTGCCTCAGTACAACCCCAAACCCTACATCTAATACATTTCAATCCATACTTACTTAAATTTTTAAAATATTAAATCTCTTTGTTTCAATATAATGTAATGGAAAGTAAACTGTAGAAAGTTAGGGTGGATCGGGCGGTAGATAGGGATAAAGTTGTCGGTCAGGTGGATTTGCGTTTTGACAGTGCCAATGGTCCCAATGGTCCCAATGGTTAGCTAGGGTCTGTAATTGCTTTTTACGGCTACCCTGCTGTCCACGGTAACTTGCTGTCACGATAATCTTGCCTGACCAGATTCGGAATTGCTCGAGGATTTTGTGTGTCCCGCGTTTGGGGATTTGAAGTTTTAGCAGTGCTGAAATATGTGCGCACGATACTTCTCTTAATCCGGTTAACTGCGCTTCGTAAACTCCGCACTGCCTGACATACAGAGAATGAGAGGAGGAGAAGAAATCGAGCGGTAAACAAAGTCACGTTTTCACGAAAGGAAGGGGTGCGAAATGTTGGGAAGGATTTTTCTAACAGCCGAAATTGAAATCGACGGAACGTATTAAAAAGTTTGATTGGCCCAAAGTTGTATCCGTCAATTCGATTAATTACATAGTTCACCGTCAAACCTATTAGTGGTGGATTTTCCGCAAGGATTTTCGTACTTAACACAATGATAAATTGAATTTCTTTTCACCCGACTAGTGGGTCAATCGATTCGCGTTGTACTTAATTATATTTCAGACTTGGATAATAGCTTTTTTCTTCCAATTAAATTAGAAAAGTCTGAAAACTTAATTTTACCCTAGATTCATATTGATATAGTTTTTATTACGTTGTTCCGTAACCAAACTCGTTCCGTCACGTAAGATGTCTTTGAGGATTTCATCAAAGCTTTGTTATTAAGAAGATTTCAGCGGTTCACCGGCTCTACTGTAACTAATACCATTTACAGTTTGTAATTGGAATGGGTTAATTTTATCCTTCCAAAGGAAATATAAACTATCCGGAGGCAACGCAACCTCAGTAACGTGATAATCACTGATTACAGTTGATTAGAAACATACCAATTACGAAATCATCATCCCAAGTGATTCATACGACCTCTAAATACCCTAGATAGATGTCATTTACATATGACATAAATGTCAGATTTAACATTAACTTATTTAAAATGTTATCTCAAAAAGTTTATGGCTTTTGTAATCAACGTCTTTTTAATTCAATTAAAATAGTTCAATTTGTAACCTTACCAATATTGACGAGAATGGCACACACAGATTTCAAACCCCCAAATTACGATGATATTAGAAGGGATAGTGTAAAATGTCCGGATGTAAAAAGTTCGGCTTCAGCTGATGCAAGAAGATTTACATCGGCCGCAGTAACGTTAGTAGCAACATTAGGGGCTTTATATGGTGCAAAAAGTGTAATGCGACACTTTATTATGTCTATGTCCGCTTCTAAAGAAGTTTTAGCGATGTCTAAAATAGAGATTAAATTAGGTGAAATACCGGAAGGTAAAAACGCTACTTATAAATGGCGTGGAAAACCATTGTTTGTACGTCATCGAACTCAGGACGAAATCGACATGGCCAGAGCGGTGGATATTTCAATTTTGAGGGATCCACAAACCGATGAAGATAGGGTGCAAAAACCACAATGGTTAGTTGTAATTGGAATTTGTACTCATTTAGGATGTGTCCCAATGGCGGGTTTAGGTGATTTTGGAGGATATTATTGTCCGTGTCATGGGTCCCATTTTGATACAGCCGGTCGAGTTAGAAAAGGACCCGCTCCCTTAAATTTAGAAGTACCTGTACATGAATTTGTCGATGAAGAAACGTTAATTGTTGGATAACTTTGTAGTTCATATTTGTTGTTTAGCTTTAGAATTGAATATAAATATTTACTAACCAATTGGGATGTTATTTTAAGAGATGAATGGTATTTTTTTGCGTTGTAGTCTCAAAACAATGATCACTTTTGCAATCAACATCTTTTAAAGCCTATTAAAATAGTTCAATTTGTAACATTACTAGTATTGACGAGAATTGCACACGCTGATTTTAAACCCGCAAATTGAGATGATAGAAGAAATAGTGTAAAAAATTTGGTTTCAGCTGATGCAAGAAGATTTACATGGGCAGCAGTAACATTAGTTGCAGCATTAGGAGCTTTATATGGCGCAAAATGTGTAATTCGACACTTTATTATGATGATTATGATTATGATTAAAGATGAAATAACGCAAGGTAAAAATGCTACTTATAAATGGCGTGAAAACCGTTGTTTGTACGTCATCGAACTCAGAACGAAATCGATATGACCAGAGCGGCGGATATTTCAATTTTGAGGGTTCCACAAACCGATGAAAATAGGCAAAAACCCGAATGGTTAGTTGTAATTGGAATTTGTTCTCATTTAGGATGTGTTCCAATGGCGGGTTTAGGCGATTTTGGAGGATATTATTGTGCGTGTCATGGATCCTATTTTGATTCAGCCGGTCGAGATAGAAAAAGACCCGCTCCCTTAAATTTAGAAGTACCTGTACACGAATTTGTCGATGAAGGAACGTTAATTTTTGGATAACTTTTTAATTAATGTTTATCCTTTACATTTAGAATTGAATATAAATATTTACTAACGAATTGGGTTGTTATTTTAAGAGATGAGTGGCATTTTTGGTCTTGTAATTTTAAAAAGTTTATTCTTATCAACGTCGTTTTGATACGATTACAATAGTTCAATTTGTAATGTTCCAAATATTGACGAGAATGGCGCACACAAATTTCAAACCTCCCAAATTACAATGTTATTAGAAGAAATAGTGTAAAAAGTTTGACTTCAGCTGCTGCTAGAAGATTTACATCGGCATGGCATCGGAAATTGCACTGGCTAGAGCGGTGGATATTTCAATTTTAGGGGATCTACAAAGTTATGAAGATAGTGTGCAAAAACCCGAAGATTAGTTGTAATTGGTATAAAATGTTGTAATAAGGTTGTAATATTGTCCGTGTCATGGATTTCATTGTGATACAGCCGGTAGAGTGAAAAAGTACCCACTCCCTTAAATTTAGAATTACCTGTAGACGAATTTGTTGATGAAGGAACGTTAATTGTTGGATAACTTGTTAGTTAATATTTATTGTTTAGCTTTTGAATTTAATATAAATATTTACTAACGAATTGGGTTGTTATTTTAAGGAATGAGTGGCATTTTTTTTTGCTTTCGGTGGAAAAAAAGCGACACGTCACCATTTCCATTTCAAAGAGATTCCATTGGTTTTATTGTGCTCCCCTCAATGGGTGCCGTGTTCCGACATTTGGATGGTAAACTGTGCGTGAACGGGAAAACGGTTTATGGTGCTGCTCACGCAATTTAATCAATCGATACCTTGCTAGGTTATAAGTCGGACGTTTTGAGATGACTTGCTTTTTGTTGGATATTTTATCTTTATTTTATTTATTGGATGATATCGATTAGCTCATAAATTTATGGTTATAAATAATAAAACATTTGAAGCTATTTGTAATATTAATATTTTTACTTACTTTTCTTTAAAAAATATATAATAGAAACGTGGAAAATAAATAATTAAATACTTCATATTTACTAATGTATAAGTTTAAATAGACTTTTTAGTTTTTAATAGTACCAAGTTCTCAATACCTTTTTTTAAGTGATAAATGAGAATCGGTTCTGGAAGCAACCAATAGGAACCTAATCGAAATCCGTTCGTTTGCAACGGAAGTAATTCTTTGTAGGTGGTATAAATTATCGAGCGAGCAACCAGAGCGTAGCGGTTAAATAATCATGAGTTTCCTGAGGATCTCGAATTAATTTACCTCCTTTTCGAAAAGTAGCGACCTCTTCTTTCGTTATCTTACAACTGCTATTATTTGTTCGATTCTTTTTTCCTACTTTTACTTTCATTTCAATTTCAACTAAAGCTGCACCCATTAAAAATACAAAGGCGCGGGTCGATTTCGACGTTTACGCAAAATAAATCGTTCTAAGGGAGGATTATTAACATTTCCCCTATCGTCATTTGTACGCGGTCCTGAGGCTGTGGCAGGCTGCATCATTCTTTCGCCTACTGACGCCCCGTCATTTATTCTGGAACCCTACCGTTTAAACATTTCCTAAACGGCCCTTGCGTCGTTTACAAACTTTACGACGGTCAGTTAGTACTGACGTGCTGACGCTGAAAGTATCCGATACAACCGATACGCATTCGATCACCCATTCGATTGTTTTTTTATCTTAAAATACTTGTTGCAATTTTAAGAAAGTTTTAGTAATCTTTGGTTGCTATTTTAATACAGTAAACTTATAATAAATGACTGGTACAGCAACTGTGTATTATCTTGGTGTACTGAAATATGGGCCACAAAACAATAGCAACGTGTGATATTGCACAGTCCGTGGAGCGGACGATGCACGATGGTTTTTCATGCGCCATTCTACAGGGAAATACTCTTTCATAACGCACCGACCGTCCCATTGCGGTGTATTATGGCCGTAAAGCTCTCGATTTGATCTCGAGTGGCCTCATCGGGCTCGTAAAGTTTGCAACAACGCCAACGGTGCAGATCCAATACAAAATCCTCGCGTGAAAATTCAAATTTTAGTATCAAATAGATAGGTACCCAGCAGTGTTAAACAGATTGTCGAGATTAACCCCACATGAATACACACAGAAAGAATATTTTCAACAAGAGAAAAACTTTTATACGTTCGAAATTTCTCTTCGAATTCCAGTTGTGTATGGAGTATATTCAATTTCAAATACCAGAGGGTGGAACTCAAAGCCATTTGAAACCATTACAGACGAGGAACGTGCGACACCTAGCGTTAGCTTTCACGAGAGTGAGTGGGTAGTAAAAGTTGGGGAGAGTGAAGTTGCCCTCGGCAGATGAACAAATGCGTTCGAAGGGGCTGAGCCCTAAGGCCCCATTATTTGCGGTCGCTACGACCGAAGATAAACTACCTGAATCGCGAAATGTGCATCCAGAAGCCATTGTGAGCAAGATACGCGTTTCCCAAGGTTACTTTCTAATAATGCTACAGGAGGAAGTCAAATATTTGCACATCATCCGGAAACCGACTCGACCGTTACTTGGTCACGTGACTAATCGGCAAATATCATTTCGAAATGTAACTTTGATTTATGTCGTTTGTAATGAGGTTATTCGGAAATCAGTTGACATTATTGATATTTACTCTGTGGATGTTGACTCTATACAATAAATCTATTATGAAAGTCTTAAATATTTATTTTCATGCAATTTTGGTGAAGGTGGCGGTTAAATAGGGGGATGTTATTGAAAAAAAAACTAGAATTTTTTGGGCAGATATTACACTTTCTACTTCGGTAGAAATTTAATTTCAAGTTCTATCAGTATTATTATTTACTCCGTAACTTTTACTATTGTGGTTCACGTAACGTGCGATTCTTACATATTGATTAAAATTATCAGTTACACTATTTATTAATCCATAAGCAATTGAAACGAAGAAATTAATTTAATCGTGACATCATACATTCGGGTTCCTTCTGAAAATAAAGATAGACAAAGAAAATCAACATTATAGGCGATTACAACTGGAATTGCTTACACTCTACTTTCTTACACTTTTATATAGCTGATAGAGAAATTTACAAATGACATGGTAACTGCAAAATACTGAACCTATAGAGATTAAGAACAAAGAATAGATTATGTAAGTTTTCGCTTAAATGTTATTTATGTATGATTGATTGGAAAATATTCAACTGTCTCGTCCTTTTCACCTGCTTTTTCCTCTCCACAGACATTCTTCTCTTCACATTAATTCGCACCAGGTATTCTGGTAAGTTATGCCGGAGTGCAGTTTGTGATATAAGTAACACATATGTTTATTCCTTCCGTAACAACCAGCTTAAATCATTTAAATACGCATTCAATGGTCCATGCGTAAAGAAGAATTGCAATCCATTTCCTCCAATGCACTGCTTAGCATTATGTACATTTGGAAATCCTATATTAACTAATTCTGTCCTATCCATCTCAATTTCATACTTTTGCTTTCATCCCTTGCAAATCATTCAAACCTTTTAACTACCTTATTCATATCCAGACTCTTTTCCTTCATTTCAACTATTGTAGATGCTAGATATAGTTGCCGTTCCCCCTGAAGCTTACCATATCGCTTAGCAATCAATAGCTGTGCCAACAACATGTGTCTTGTGGCGAAGAAATGCTATTGCTAGCGGATAGCTGGTAAAGAAGTTGTCTACGTCTAATGTTCTACCTTCCTTCATTTGCAGTAAACTCATAATTTTATTATTATTAGTATGCCTTTCCAAGGAATAAGAGTTTTGTCAATTTCATAGACTTCGCGAGGATAATGATCTAATAAGATAATTTGATTATTTTATAATCAATTCTATTCCAAGACATATATATGTATATATAAGTATTGTTTTAACATCGTTTTTATTACATGATGATATCGCAATTCGTTACTTAGATACTATGTCTCTAATTTCATTTTATATCAATTCAACATGAATATCCATACAGTTGAAACAAAAAAAGCCTGAACAAAAAAAGAGTTGAAGAGTCTGAAAAACACGTTAATACACCCTAGCTTTTGTTTAAAGTTTAATTATTGTTGTTTCAAAAAAGAATTATTATAAATAATTTCATTCTAATTAGGCATTAACACTTTAAAACATGTAGAACCATCAAAAGAGTTTCAAGTAGTCATTAGTTGTAAAATTTGAGGGAGTGGAGTTATCAGGTTTACCCTTTTAGACGAAGTTAAACCGTTAGTGCGAATGAAACTAGTTGAATTGATATTTTTAAATATCCTTTATGTATACTTTACAAGTAAGTGTTACAACTTGACACTTACAGCAATATTATTTA